TAAAAAGTGAAGCTTTTAAGGTGTTTAGGAAGTTTGAAAAGCAAATTCAAAATGAGAAAGACTTAAGAATTAAGGTGTTAAGAAGTGACCATGGTGGAGAGTTTCAAAATGAATGGTTTGAAAATTATTGTGAGAAAAATGAAATTTTGCATAATTTTTTTGCACCTAGGACTCCCCAACAAAATGGTGTAGTAGAAAGGAAAAATAGATCACTAGAGGAACTTGCTAGAAGAATGCTAAATGAATCAAATGTTCCTAAATATTTTTGGGTTGATGCTATAAGTACTGCATGTTATGTATTGAATAGGATGCTTATTAGGCCAATTATAAAATCAACTCCTTATGAACGGTTAAATGATAGAAAGCCTAATGTTGCTCATTTAAAAATATTTGGATGTAAATGCTTTGTTTTAAATAATCGAAAATATAACTTAGGAAAATTTGACTCAAAAGCCGATGAGGGCATTTTCTTAGGTTATTCACTAACTAGCAAAGCATTTAGAGTGTTCAAAAGAAGAACATAATAAATTTTAAAGGAATCAAGTTTGGGAATTACTTCCAAGAGAAGAATCACATCAAGTAATTGGAACAAAATGGGTATTTAGAAACAAACTTGACAAAGATGGAAATATAATAAAGAATAAAGCCAGACTTGTTGCCAAAGGTTACTATCAGGAGGAAGGTATTGATTATGATGAAACTTATGCTCGTGTTTCCAGGTTAGAGGCTATACGCCTACTTCTTGCTTATGCCTCATTGATGAAATTTAAACTATATCAAATGGATGTTAAAAGTGCATTTTTGAATGGGTTTATCAAAGAGGAAGTATATGTGGAACAACCCCCTAGATTTGAAGATTTTAAATATCCCAACCATATTTTAAAATTGAAGAAAGCCTTATATGGTTTAAAACAAGCTCCAAGGTCTTGGTATGAAAGATTAAGTAGTTTTCTAACTTCAAATGATTTTTCTAGAGGAAAAATTGATCCCACTTTGTTTATTAAGAAAGTAAAAGAACATATCTTAATAGTTCAAGTATATGTTGATGATATCATTTTTGGGTCAATTGATAATTCCTTGTGTGTAGAATTTGCTAAGAGAATGCAGGGAGAATTTGAAATGTCAATGATGGGAGAATTAACATTCTTCCTTGGACTTCAAATTAAACAACTTAAAGATGGCATTTTTGTGTCTCAAACTAAATACTGCAAAGAGATTCTCAAGAAATTTGGAATGGACACTTCAAAGGAAGCTAACACACCCATGGGAACTTCATGCTATTTAGACAAGGATGAATCAGGTTTCGAAATCAATCAATCTATGTACAGAGGTATGATAGGTTCACTATTATACTTAACTGCAAGTAGACCTGATATTATGCATTTTGTTTGTGTGTGTGCTAGATTTCAAGCATGTCCAAAAGAATCTCATTTAACTGCAGTAAAATGAATTTTAAAATATTTAAAAGGAACTACAGGTTTTGGTTTATGGTATCCATCTGAAGCTTCTCCTAGTTTAATAGGATATTCTGATGCTGATTATGGTGGATGTAAAATAGATATAAAGAGTACTAGTGAAACATATCATTTTTTAGGATCATCATTAGTGTCTTGGCATTCTAAGAAACAAGCATGTGTTGCTTTATCCACTACTGAAGCTGAATATATTGCAGCTTGTAATTGTTGTGCTCAAATTTTATGGATGAAACAACAATTAGAAGACTATAGTATCTTTCTAAGTGATATTCCTTTAATGTGTGATAATACAAGTGCAATAAATCTTACTAAGAATCCAGTAATGCACTCTAGAACTAAGCATATAGAAATTAGACATCACTTTTTAAGAGATCATTTATCCAAAGGAAATTGTCAAATTAAGTACATAGACACAAAACATCAATTAGCAGATATATTTTCCAAACCTCTTCGAAAGGATAGATTCTATGAACTTAGAAGAGACTTAGGAATATTAGAAATAGCCTAAAAATCTTCTTAACTGATCAATCTTTGCATTTTGTGTTGAACACTCAAGGACTTGATGTTGAACTTACATGGACATGAAGCTTGTTGATTTTGATGATGATTCAAGAACAAAGAACTTAGAGAGTTGAAGACTTGTTTTATTGTGTAATAACTCTGTTTTGATTAGTTTGAGTCTGTAGTATTAGAGTCTAAGATAGCTGGTACATAGTCTACACTTTAGAAGCTTCAAAAACTCACATTTATCAGTTTGCCTCGGGTTTAATCGATTAAATGGTCAAATAATCGATTATTACAGTGAGAAAAACCATTTTCTATCACTGTTCACTGTAATAATCGATTAACACATCTGTTAATCAATTAACAGGCCTGTTAATCGTTTAATAGGGCTTTTAATCGATTAAAACAGAGAGTTTGGGGGTTCTGTTGATTTTGGCTCTGTAATAATCGATTAACACTTCATTTAATTGATTATTTCAATTAGATTTTGATTTTCAACTTCAAATTAAACCTATTTTCGAAAACCCTAATCCCAATACTCTCTAGTTTCGAAAATCCCAATTCACAAACCCTAATTTCTCTACTTAAGGTTCTCTAAGGCTCTCAGAAAATTGAACAACCTTTTTCAAATAAAAGTTAAGTGTTGTGAGTGCCAGAGAACTGTTTGTTGGAGGAAAAAGGGGTTTTTGGAACTTGGTGTGGGCTAGAAGCGATAAGAATCACTAAGTGGAGTTCTTAGTGGATTGTGTGTTTTGCCGTCTCTGGGGAAAGCTGTTCTTCATCTCTTGTGGGTTTCAAGAGAGGTGTTTTCTTTACTTTGTATTTTCAATTATTATCTGTTTGTAACAACTTTGATTATAGTGACAGGGTTAATCCTCTGTTTGAGTGATTAGCAACTGGACGTAGGGTCTTTTGATCCGAACCAGTATAAATCTCCTGTGTAAGACTCTATCTCTATCTTATTTACGTTTAGACAGCATTTTAATCGGTAAAATTTGGGGAAAATGTTTAAAACCTAATTTTTGTTAAGAAACCAATTCACCCCCCCTCTTGGTTTTTGTCTGACAACGCGAACATTCTGTTGCGCAATTCTAACAAGTGGTATCAGAGCTTGCTTTGATAGTCATTCAAACTTTTCGAAAATGGCCGGACAAAATCAAACTTTTGCCGAAGGTGCATCTATCAACAGACCCCCACTTTTTGCGTGTCAAAATTATCCTTTCTGGAAAGTAAGAATGCAAATCTTTTTAGAGTCTGTTGATAGAGGCGTTTGGGACGCTATTTTAAACGGTCCCTATATTCCTAAGTTACTGAGAACGGTGTAGATGTTCCTAAACCTTTTCCTAGATGGACAACAGAGGAAAACAGAAAAGCACAATTTGACATTAGGGCCAGAAATATTATTTCATCTGCTTTAACCCTTGATAAGTTTCACAAGATCTCTGTTTGTAAAAGTGCTCAGGAGATGTTGGAAATACTAAGAGTGACCCACGAAGGTACCGATAACGTTAAGAGAGCACGGAAAAATTCCCTAATCCAAGAATACAAGATGTTCCAGATGCAACAAGGCGAAACGATATTTGACGTTCAAAAGCGTTTCACTCATATTGTGAACCATCTCACCGGATTAGGTAAAATCTTTGACGTTGATGAATTGAATGTTAAAATTTTAAAATCTTTGGATAGGAAATGGCAACCTAAGGTGACGACCATCTTGAAGTCACAAAACCTTGCCACAATGTCTATGGCGGTGCTCTTTGGAAAGCTAAGAGAGCATGAGCTTGAGCTTGGAAGGCTAAACGATGAAGAAGGACAATATCAAAAGAAGAACTTAGTCTTCAAAACCGAAATTTCCAAAGGTAAAAATAAAAAGGAAGAAGAAGACTCGGAGAATGAAGAAGAAGAATTGAGTCTTATGATAAAGAAGTTCACCAAATTCATGAAAGCTAAAGGAAGGCATCCATTCAAAGGTAAGGGAAAGCACTACAAGAAAAACACCAAATAGTGACCGAAATTAGTGACTAAAAAATTCAGTCACTGATAGTAACTGAATCAGTGACTGATTTCCCTTTTTATATTTAGTGACTGATTTAGTGACTAAAATTTCAGTCACAGATATCGGTCATTGATTCGAGTCACCGAATCGGTCATCTGATTCAGTCACTACTAGAAAATGGTTAATAGTGACCGAAAGTGGTGATCGATTTTTTATATATTTAGTAACTGATTTAGTGACTAAATTTTCAATCACTAAAAAAATAATTTTTAAATTGATAACTATTTTTCATTTATATAAATATTTTATTTAAAATATTTTAAATATAAATCTACTTAATAATTTAAAATAATTGATAACATTTTTAATAACATTATAAAAATTTTAAAAAAATAGTTTACTAACTTATTAAATAATTTAGTAATATAATTATTTAATTTTATTTTTTAATTTAGCATGTGAATAAAAAAATTAAAATTGATTATTAAATTAGTCATCGAATCGATCATCTGATTTGGTCACTGAATCGATCACTAAATCAATAAATTTAAATTTAAATTATAGATATATTAAAATTTAAATTATTGGTAATTTTTTAATTATTAAGCTAAAATTTGATAATATTAATAAATTTAAAATAAAAAATAAATAAATTTATATATATATATATATCACTTTAATTTTTTTAATTAAAATTAATTTCATAAAAAAATTAATATTTGAAAATTAAAATGCAAAAGTATATATATTTATCTTTTATTTAATTATACTTTACACCTAAAAAAAGAAAAAAATAATGAAATTTTCTTTTATTAATCATTTTTATAAAATAAAAAATATATAATAATTACTTTTATAAAAAAAAAAATTTAAGTTCCAACCTGCGCTGAGTGACCTAATTTTAACCTAAATTTTGGGTCATCACTTTCATTTTCATCACCTTCATTTTCCCTTCACTCACGCGTCTCACCGTTCTCCCTAGAGATCCCTGCTTCCACTCTTCCAGAATCCCTCTTTTTCCTCAGGTAGCAGCCCCCACTCTCCGTGCACCTTCACTTTCCCTTTTCCCTTTCAGCCTTATTGCGCCACTCGCACCTTGGCAATCACCTCCAACCACGGCCAGCACCACTCCATCTCCCTTCTCAACCCTTCACTAGAGCCTGCGCAACCCCTATTCAACTCCGACCGCAGCTCCTCCACTGTGACCCGCAACACCACTAAACAGCCACCACGATCCCCCCACAATCACTCCCCCAAATCGCCGAGCCACCACCACGACCATCCCCATCTCCAGCCCCTCTAATCTTCCCCACCACAAATCACCACCACTCCTTCATCTCACCATAGCTAACCGCCACCACCGCACCAGCCCTAGCCACTTACGCGACCACCTTCATTCCTAAAATCCTTTTTTATTCCCCTCTGCTACCACCTCAATCGTGCCATTGCGAACCATACTTCGGCAACCCCACAGCATACGCAATCTGCGGCCCCAGTCGCACCTCTCTGTGAGCCACCTTCCCAATCATGCCGCGGCTGGTGGGGTGGCATCATCGGAACAGTGTCGAGTCCTTTCCTTAAAGCAAAAGTCGCGGGCCAACTTCCCTATAGAGGTTGAACTCGAGGACCGGGATCCATGTTTTGGGTCTCTGTTTTGCTTGATTTGTTTTAAGTTTCCGCCTGGTATTGCATTTCTAATTGAGGGTTTTGTTTCTGATGGTTTAACCTTGTTGATTTTGATCCTTTTGCTTAATGTTGTTGTTTCTGAGTGGGATATGTTAAATGTTGGTTAGCATGGTTGTATCCAAGTCGAGGCGTGTGGTTCCAGTGTGGTTTCATTCCGTTTATTTGATTAGCGTTATGCTCTGATTTGATTATGTTGGTTGTTTCTGACGGGTCTAGTTTAAATGGGGTCGTTAAGTTTTTTGGTTGTGATGACTGCTACTTGTATCAATTGTGTTCATCTCCTTGTTTAACATATTATTATTAAAACAGGTGATATTATTTGTTGAGATGGTGTCCTGCATTATTGTTTGTTAAGATGGTGTCCTGTATAATACCTGGTTGTTAAGTAATGTTCACCTTGTACCATTTGTTTGCAGATACACCTAATGTTGTCTTATATGATTATTGTTTGTTAAGATGGTGTCCTGTATGCTACTTGTACCATTTGTTTGCAGATACACCTAATGCTGCTCATGAGTTAACAATAGCAGGTAACACTCTTGGCTCCAATCACTTACAGTGTCCCCCTTCCCACAGTCGTATAGTTATTGCATAGGCTTGGCCAAATTCTTTAAGTAATAGAAGCGTATCCTATTAGTAAATATCAAATTTGCTTGATTCATAAAGGATAGCTATATGCATTGGCTTGCCTATAAGCTCTTTGTGGATGAAAAATTAGATTTCTCTTCTATACCCATCCTTGCTATTCATGTAGGCTAAAGCTGAAACATAACAATCTTCTTTATTGTTAGAAAGATAATTTTTGCGATCTGGTTGTTGAAACATAACAATCCTTGCTATTCTTTTGTTTCCATTTATTGTTTGTTTTGCAGCCAGCTGTTTCTGCAGTTGGGTTGGTTCACTTGAGCTTAAAGGTTAAAGGTATTTGATTTTTGTTTTCTTGCTTGGTTTTTTTTTTATATAAAGTTTTATTTACTGAATTACTTTACTGAATTTTGGGAGTGTTTGAGGCATTTTTAGTTGAATGACTGAAATAGGTAGAAATGTTTTAGGATTTTTATTTTTTATTTTTAATTTGGGGAATTTAGAAATATGTTTATGTCTTTTTAATCGGTTTTGAGCTGCTAACTACTGTTTTATTATAGTGAATGTGCTGCAGAATGTTTTGTACTTGAATTTTAAATTTCAGGTGACTTAAATACATATTGGAGTTACTCTTTATTAGAAAAAAAATAATATTCGGTCATAAAAATAAGTGATGCATTTGCGCCGAGGTGAGACTGATGAGAGAGATGGTGTCCACTGTGGGGCTTGTGTGTTGTTGCATAGAGACGTTAGAATGCTCTGTTATTGCCATGTTGTGATGTTCCTTCGTTGAGAGGGTCATTAGTTTTTTGTTGTTCTTATCGGAACTTTTCAGTTTTTTGTTGTTCTTATCGGAACTGTTCAGTTATTTTTTTATTAAAATATTTGAGTTCACAATGGTCTAATATTACAGGTTTGGTGTAAAGTTGCTGGAATAAACAAAGGCAAAGTATATGGACTTGGATCTGAGTCAAGCAAAGCAATTGGGAGAAATCTTTGCCACGACTCTACTTCATCATCTGTCCAGCTTATGAGGGAGGAGATTGAACAATTAAAAAACAAGTTACAGGAAGTTGAGACTGAAAGGGATGATCTCCGTGAAAGAATGTTAACTAATGAGAGACAAATTCAGAAAAATGATAAAATGTTGTTCCTCTTGATGGAGAAGATGGATGTTCAACCTCCTAAATTGTGAACTGATTTTGTTATGTATATTGTATTTGTTTTGTTAGTATCTGACATTTTCAGAATTATGACTCTTATTTTAGTTTATTGTACTTATTTTTATATTGAATTTTCAATATGTAAGAAAGTATTTAATTCATGAATGATGACTTTATTTAGAACAAAATTTGTGGTATTATTTTGATGGTTATCTTAGGTAGTGAAATTTTCATATGTTTAATATAATATATAATGTATTTCATAGGTTTATCGTTATTTCAAAAATAATATAAAAAAAATAAAATAAAATTAGTGACCGATATAGTGACCGATTTGGTTATATATATTCGGTCATCGATTCGATCACTGATTTGGTCACTAAATCGGTCACTGATTCGGTCACTGATTCGGTCACTAATTCAGTCATTGAATTTGTCACTGAATCGGTCACTGAATCGGTCATTGATTCGGTCACTGATTCGATCACTAAAATCAGTGACCAAGGAAATAGTGATCGATTCCAGTTAGTCATTATTTCGGTCACTATTTTAGTTAGTGACCGATTTTAGACATTTAGTGACCGAATTTTCGGTCACTATTTGGTGTTTTTCTTGTAGTGAAGGTAAGAGAAAGTAATTCCGTAAATATAAAATGTTATGGTTGTGGTGAAGCAGGACATATGAAGACCGAATGTCCAAACAAGAAAAATGAAGAAATAAAAGGCAAAAAGTTCTTCAAAAAGAAATCCTACATTGCTTGGGACAATAGTCATTCAAGTTCGGAATCAAGTGACTCAGAAGTAGAAGCCAATATTTGCTTAATGGCAAATGACAACATATCTTTCGACTTTGAGGTAAGTGATTCTGACTCATCCTCAAGTGATGATGAAAATAACTATGATGAACTGCAAAATGCATATAATGAATTGTTTAGTGCCTTTAAGGACTTGAAAAATGAATATAAAGTTGTGAAAAAGAGTTTAAGTAGATCCGAAAAGGAGATTGACTCATTAAAAACGAAAATCACATGCTTAGAGGAAAAAGAAACCTTAGAAACGAAAATTGTATGTTTAGATGAGAATGATGATAAAAACTTAGCATGTGCTTCTTGTAAAGAACATGAATATGACATAGATATACTTAACCATTTGCTAGATAAAGCCGAAAAGGAGATAAGTGATTTTAAGAAGGATAAAATTGTTTTAGCTCAAAATAGTGTAAATCATCAAGCTCCTTTGAAAAAGCCTAAAAAGAAAAATAAAAGAGTATGGGTAGAAAAAGGAACTAGAGCATCTTTTGTTAGTAATGCATGTCGCCGCCATCCGTTCCGACGTCCTGAGGACGTCTCGAACGTTTATGCGAGCGGTCGCGAAAAGATGGTTGAGACTCGCGTTTTTTGTTAAAATTGTGTTCATTGCTTCCGAGGTGCTCAACACTGAACTATCCTCTAATAGAAGCAAAGTTTTCGAAAAGGGGTTCTGTTGGAGTCGCCACCAATGTTTTGACCAGAAACATTGGAAAAGGAAAAAAGGCGTTGATTTTATTAAAAACCAACTTGGCCATTATAACCAGAGTTGGGTAAGGGAGTTAGTTACGTGTGGGGAAGGTGTTAGCACCCCCACAACGCCCCTTTCGGGTTCCCTATGACGGATTTATTCATTAAGTGAAGATTATGAGAAATTACGCATTTACCCTTATTTTATTCGTACAGTTATTTAGATATGGTTATCTACATGATGTATCTACATTGCATACAGAAAACAATAAATAAAGCAGTAAAGAAGAAGAGAATTAAGAAAAACCTCCGTAGCAAGCTTTATATTATGATTCTTGTACAAAGAGGACGCGTTTCGGCAGTCCTTCGCTCTATAATTGTTCTCTCCTCTCGATTACAGACTCGACTCGACTCGACTAAATTTTCTAGAAGAATCGAATGCCAGAATACAAATTCCTTAACTGATTGTTACCTAAAAAAGGCAATCAGAGAGATCATTCGAGAGAGGGAGAGAAGAAGACAAGTCTCTGAGTTGTCTGGTGTGTGGAGAATGACAAATGAACCTCCTATTTATAGTTTTTTCGCTGCTTGGAACTTTGGGACGGCCGTCTGGGTTGGGACGGCCGTCCCAAACGCGTTTTCTGCATTGTGCCAATCTGGGACGGCCAGTCTGGGTTGGGACGGCCGTCCCAAATGCAAATTTGTTCACGTTGGGACCCCCTGGTGTTCGGGACGGCCGTCCCACATTTGGGACGCGCGTCCCACTTGCTTAATTTCAGTTGGGACGGCCGTCCCAACCCTGGGACGGTGGTCTCGACCTGTTTTGGCCTACTCTTGCGTTTTGGGACCCCCGGGAAGCTTTCCTTGCCGTTTTCGGACATGGATTGGTGCCGATATATGTCCGTTGAAGCTTTATCTTCATGTAGGAAGTCTTCTTGGCCTTCATTAAGATGCCAGGCGAACTTTTCCTTTGTTTGTACGAGGTCTTTTTAACTTTTATCGTGCAGATGAGCAAGCTCCGTGTTGTTGCAGGAGGTTTCCTCGGTTTTGGGAAGCCGGATGAACTCCATCTTCGGGCGAAGTTCCTCTAGCTTTTATTTTGAGAGGCAGGGAAAAATTAGGGGCCTACAGCTGCCCCCCCTTCACCTGCCTAACTAATTCGTTGGTTTTAATATGCCAACAAAATTAGTTGGTAGGGGAAGGAGTTAACCTTTTTGCCCGGCTATCCTTCGGATGCTGCTCCTTGCTGATCCTCCGGATGATAAATATTTTGATAGGTACTAACCCCTATCTGGTTTGAGCCTTCTTTTTCTAAGGCTTTGGTGAGTACTTACCCTCACCGGGTATAAGTCTGTATTTTTACTAGACTTTTGT